AAGATGTGATACGGGTTCAGGGACAGCAGGTCTAATCTTGAACACAGTTTTAAGGCTAAGGTTTTCATAAAAAACATGGTAAAAGAAAGACCAGGAAGAAAATCGGACAACAGAGAATCGTGATCATATTGATCTTTTCGACTATTTATATGAGTCGTGTAATGTTTCATTGCAAACTCAGGAGATCTAATGAGAGAAAACCAATACTTACAAACACAAATAAATCGAATATGTTGTTCGATTTTTTAATTTTATATGGGAAAGAGCACACATTAGAAATAGCAAAGATTAGTTTTTTTTGGCAGGATACTGTTATGTTTGTTTCTCTCCGTTTCATAGTTTTATTTTAATGGCTGATTTATTTATTAAAAACGGAGCCAATCAGAACGTGCCACATGGCCTTGGTGACTAGAATCCATTTTTTCTTAAGAGATTTGCTATATCATTAAATCAAGGTCATTCGTTTATTTTGAGACATTCACTGGTGGAGGTTATCTTAAATTAACCTTATATAGTTTGAAATGATCTGTTCTTATACTACCTCCGGTTTGTATTATATGCAACTTTGGTGTATTATTTGTGATATATAAAAAATTCGAAATTCCAAAGTTGCATATAATATAAACCGAAGATAATATTACCAATAACCATAACAATGCCACCCTTCTCCACAAATCTTGGATCAAACATTGGCCAAGGACAAGAAATAAGACTTAAAATATGCATAAGAGCTCAAAGAACCTTAATATTGCATGAATGATTAAAATGAGTAATATGCTTGCAAAGTTATTATATAGTGCCCGTCAAATATCTGCCATTCAATCATTGATTATCGATGAGGCGGATTGGGTGGTGCTAGAATTCAATATTGATTGCTCTAAAATAGTGCTTCTAGCCTTCTACCACCGCGTGCAGCACACATGTGCGGTTTAAAGGGGGGGTACACTACAAAAATTGACCTGAATTGTTGCACATTTCCAGCAAACCCAAAATTCGAGTACAAATTCATTTACAAAATACTTGATCAAACATTAGATCATTTCAACCAGTTCAGCATCAAATTCAGCTTCTCATATGCTCAATTTACAAATCAAAACAACTTTCTGATTAACTTCAGCCAGCTATAAAAATGAAAATCTGGAACTCACAAACTCAATTTCTCAAGTGCTTAACTTACAAATCAAAACAACTTACTGATTAACCTCGAGCTTCAGAACAAATTAAAAGGTTGTTGGTCATAAAATCACAGCAAAAGTTCTCAAAAAACATCAAAGGTCTGAAATGAACATGAAAATCTGTACAATATAAAGGTCCTGAAACTTTCAAAATACAATGCTCTTTAACAACAGATAACAAGCTTCGGAGTCTCAATGTCTCTATTAATGCTTGGGAGTGGAGATTCCCTTACCTTCCCCCTACTCCTAAGCGTCAACCCGTGTAGCCGGACTGCCAGCGCCGATTCTATAGAGAGATTTTCTCCTTTGACAGAAAAGCTACAGATTACAAGTGTATCATTTTTTCCACGAGTAAAAATGCAAGATCAAGATCAAAAACAAAATTTTTTGATAGCAACAACAAGGCCTTAGTCCCAAAATGATTTGGGCTCGGCTAACATGAATCTGTCATAAGGAACAATACAATAAAAAGAAAGGGACCAAAAACAAAACTTTTGAGAGAATTTGGACAATTAAAACCACCAACAATTCATAAATTTGCACTTTCATAGCAACACAAATTACTGCTCTAAAAATAGTACTGCCAATTCAGACCAATAATACAAGTCACCGACAGCATAAATCTGTCAAATTCTAATCCATAAATCTAGCAATTCAATCATCAAAAGATAAAAAACAAGTATAAAACCTCCAAAATCATGGATTTTTCATAACAATTGAGAAATCCCATAAAAATTCTACCAATTAAACATCAATTACTATAAAATTCTAAATCAAAATTGCATCTTTTACTTCTACCTTCATCTATACTACAGTAGAAACCTATTTTTTTCCATGGATTTTCAACAAAGAATAGTAAAATTCCAACACCCATCAAACTAAATCAAAGCTAAATTTGATTGATTAATACAATATATAAGTGATATATTATATAAACTAATAATACAACAAAAATACCCGATTATCACCAATGCATGATGATCTAATTAAAGATCAATTTTAAAAATTAAAAAAAAAAACCCAGATCACTAACCAGATCTTAACCCACAAAGATTCAATCATTTAATCGATCTTCTTCTTCGCCGATCCCTCGGTTTCAAAGCCTGTAGAACAGAGTCATTGTATTTCAAGGGTACAGCCTTTGATCTTCGCTTTTGCGGCTTCTTCTTGGCAGCATTACTATTCTTATTAATCTTCTTCGGAATTTCGATCAAATCAGTAGTTTTAAAATCAACAACATTCTCATCATCTTCAACTAAATCCCCAACATCATTTTGATCGGAATTGATGACAAGATTAGCAAATCGAAGGGCGGGCTTACGACGACGAATAACCCGCCTTTGAATATAGGGAACACCGATCACAGACCCGGCAACGTAGTAGACGGCCTTGACGAGTAGATCGAGGCCGTGGCAGCGGGGATTGGCAGCGGAAAGAGAAGGAGAGGAAGAAGAGGAGGTGGAGTTAGAGGAGGAAGAAAGAGAGTGAGTTGAGATAGTAGAGTGAGATGAGAAGCAAGAAGAAGAGGAAGAACATGAAGAAGGTGAAGGTGAAAGGGTTGGAGGAGAAGAAGGGGAAACAGAGGAAGTTAAAGATCTTCTGATTCTCATTTTAATGGTGGGAAATTGATGGGTTTTCAGGGAATTGATCTGGGATTTTGGTGAATTTGAGGATGAGATTGAGAATTTGAGGAAGAAGAAGAAGAAGTGAAAATGGTGGTGGCAGAGAGAGAAGGGAGATGGGCTAGATTTGGGCTAACCGTGTAATGAGGAGAAAAGGGGGTGGAGGTGGGTGGGATTGATATTTAAGAAATGGTAAATGGGAAATGGGAGAAGTGGTAATATTGAGCTTTTTTGAGGTGAGCTGTTTGAGACTACTATAGCCTTGTCCACTTGGGTAGTGAGAATGTGAGATCATTCAACTCAATCTTCGAAAAAAAATAAAAAATAAAAAAAAATATATATATATAAGAACTTTCCTTGGAAGAGGGATGATAAATCTATGTTTGAAATTGAATGGTTTGATATTTTTTGTGTGCTAGTGTTAGGGTGGTAAATATTACTCCACCTGTTATACAATAATGTTTCCTACTTTAATCAAATTTGTCTCATAAAAAAACTCTAAATTAGAACATTATTGTGGAACGGAGGGAGTATCAAATTAAAGTAGAGAACTAGTTAAATGGTGAATTGTGAGATATTTATTGAGTTGGATACGCTGATGTGCTCCATTTTCTCCTCTATATTTCATTGATGAACTAGTTCTCCAATTAGTCTTTTTATCATCAGCGTGTTTGTTCAATACTTAACTATACTATGTTTTATGTCTAAAATTAAAACTACCACTAAATGTTAAGGGTGTTAACGAGCCAAGCCTACTCGTGCATTGCTTGAGAATCGTCTCAGTATAGACTTGACTCGACTTGAATTCGGATTCGGCTCAAAAGCTTGTGAACAAGCTCAAATATATATATATATATATATATATATATATATATATATATATATATATTATATATATATATATATATATATATATATTATATATATATATATATATATATATATATATTATATATATATATATATATATATTATATATATATATATATATATATATATTATATATATATATATATATATTATTATTATTAATTTTTTTTTGTAATAAATCAATCAGTAACATAAACTTTTGTTTCATATTTAGGACTTAGGAACTAATAATAATTTCCAAAACTCTAGTTTGTGTCCTCTCTGAGTGTTAGAGCTTTCGTTCATGTTATGTAGAAGATGAACCAACAAAAGATAAGAAAAAAAAAATAGTCCCTCATCAAAAGTTTGGAGCAAGTGATAGAATGTAAGAGTTATAAAAGCAAAATTTAATTGTTATTGAAACTATGATTATGGGCACCATTTGGGTCTTGCTGATTTGGGCTTTTCAAGCCTTGATCGAGCCTCGAGCCTTCACTTGACGAGCTTCAAGCTCAAGCCAAGCCTACCCAGGCTTGGTCTTGACTCGGTTGGTTAACAATTATGATTATGCAAGAAGTTGTTTCAACAAGTAGTTCTTTTGAGATCAAATTCAACTATAGAAACTTTAAGGGTGAATATTTTCAATGCCATTCACACTACCCTTGATAAACTAATTTGGTAATTTGGGTTTAATTAACTTGCATGAGGATTGTTTGTCATGGCAATCACCTTACCACTAAAAAAAATTAAAGAATCACAAAATAAAACACAATAAAGAATCGCATGATGATTTAACTAGGCCCGACTATTAATGAGTTTAAGTCCATTTAATCAACCCAAACTAAGAAATTAGATTCACATTCAAGCATGTGAACTTTAATATCCTCACAACTAATTCTATTCATGTTTACAATGTAGAAATTTCAACCATTGAGTAAAGTGCTCATGCCCTAAAAGTGACTACTCACCCCAATAGTCATTAAATTATTACAAAAAAGAATACAAAATAAATAATTCCAACCAAAGTCAGATATATTAAATTTGAGTTAAATATGAAAGTATAGACAAAAGATGGTAAGACCTATAACTTAATTATGGTTGGCCATGAGTCCAAAAACTATAAAAACTATGAATGATGTGGCATATTTCTAGTGCATGAGAAAGGTTCCATATAACACATACTTTCTTAAAAACTCACTTTAATATAGATTATAAATTATAGATTGAAACATCCAATGAAAAAATGTCCCTTTAAGGTAGTTTATACTCTCCTACACTTTTTATTCCAAAAAAAAATAAAAAAAATAAAAATAAAAATAAAAAATAAAAAATCCTCTTACACTTTAGTACCAAATTTTTTTTTTTTGGGGGGGGGGGGTTGTGTTTCAAAAGAAGTGGTCATATTAACCAATTTGAAGTTTGTCAAGTTAATTTTACGTGAACCATTTTGTAAAAATACACCTAAAAGTTGGGATCGTTTTAAAGCAAACAGTCTATGACTGGAATTGCTTTTTTTTTCTTTTACAAGAAGAGCTGATAAACAAACTAACCAACCAAACAAAGACCAAATTAAAAGGACAGATACAGAAAACATCGGCGACGAGCTCCCACAGCCAGCCAAGGAGCAGGAGAAACCCAAGTACGCAGGACTTTACAAATACGACAAGTAGCTAGGGAAAGATAATAGGGATGAACTATGAAGCAACCAGAAATATGAGATGTCATTTCAACGCCGTTGACAAATCAAAGAAATTAAAACTGCGCCGTCTGTGTAGATTAGCAAACGAAGAAAGCCTTTACGGCGAGCTTCATGGAGAGCCCAAAAGCAAGCATGTAACGAAGGGCAGAAGGAGATATGACCAAATAGAAGCCCATCAATGAACCTCACAGAAGATCCACCGACACTTGCAGTATTATCCAAACAATTCCAACCTCCATAAAAAATCTGGCAAACATCAAGAGAGTCCACGGGGAAGAGTCCTAGGAGCCGAAGGAGAGGTTCGAGTAAAATCTTGAGCTTGAATTCCTCAGTGGAGCCATTCACTAGAGAGATTGAAGATCAACTCCGGAGTACTTACAACCACCCTAATTACGAGAGAGTCATATGGCCCATAATAAAGAAAGAAAGGTGTAGTGATCAAGCCGTTCCAGTTCTTCACTACAATAAAAACACCAATTAGATCAAAAACCACTCATGAAAGGCTTATCATCCAAAATATTCCCGAGGAAACCTAAACGGACCACAAACCAGAATACGAGTGAAAGGACAATCGCGAATTGCAAATGTCAGTTCTTCCAAAACTTTATCATGTCAATAATGTTCATATCTCAATTGTTACCAAGATATCCACCTCTAGCTAATAGATGATTGAGGGTTAAGCACTAAAATTTTTAATAGGTTGAACATTGAACGAAAACTCTATAAGATTCAAGATGATTGTGATCAGTAACGAAAACTCTGTAAGATTCAAGATGATTGTGATCAGTAAAACACTTTCTATTAATTGGTTACTTCACAATTTTGTAATACATTCTCTTTCAAAGTACAACATTACTAACATACAAAACATACATGAGTTACAAATAAAATATAAAAAATCTAGACTTAAACTCATGCAAAAAGTGAGTCTGCTTGAAAAAGCTTGTATATCCAAAATTGTTGAGCCTTTTGGTTTTGATGGACAAATTGACAAACTCGACTAATGAATGTTTTGAGTCTTTGGTGAATAAAGGATTCAAGCAAAGTTCGTTCCGGAGTAGGAACTTGGATGCGGAGTAGCATTCTCTAAAAAGCCTCGTGCAAATCTCACGTTCTAGTTTTAATTGTGAGCACTCAATATTATAAAGTCGGAAAGGAACTCAATGACTTATGTTAAAAAGACTACTGGAATAAAAGTTAGTTTTAAAAGATAATTTCTTAAAGAAAAGATAATTTGTAAAAGTTTTAATAAAGATAATTATCGAAGATAATTATCTAGTTGTTTTAATAAATAATAAATTTATCTTTTCAAATAAAATCTTTTTAAACAAACTTTTGATAATCTTTTTAAACAAATATTTGATAAGGATAGCAAGCGGTTTTTCTGTGTGAAAATCTTTATACGGCTAATGATTATCAAGTTGTTTAAGATAGTGGACTAATTAGATAAGGCTAGGAAACCTCTTCATGATTACCATCTGTCAAGATAACTCCACAAGTTGTTAGTGGGTTGTTGGCATGTGGACGTGATTATAGTGGAGGTTAATGACTAAGCCTTCTCTATAAATACTCATGCAAACTATCTCAGAAAGATATAACTCTTGAGCATAAAAATTCCAGTAGCCATCTAATAACATAAAGAGAGTTATTTTCCTTCATATATTCTTGAGTGCAATAGGTATTTGTAATCACAGATTGTATTCAAGTACTTAGGGGTTGGGATTGTGAGTTTGTAAAGTGAGGTCAAGGAAGCTTCGTTGCTGAAGTCTTCTGTGAGAGTTGGGAACAAGTTCCTAATTTGTGGAACTTGTTAACGGGTTTGAATCTTCACTTGTAAAGAGTTTGATTACTTAGTGGAAATTTAGAAAAGCCTATATCTTCTCTCGTCACTATTTCATTTAGTTAAATTCCGCAAAAAGTTTTTAGATTTCACCTCAAATACAATTCACCCCCCCTCTTGTATTAGCCAGTTAGACTTTCAGTTGGTATCAGAGCAGGAACTCAGAACACGCAGGCAACCCTGTTGAGTAAGTTCCTGGAAAATGGCTTACACAGAGGAAAAGGAATTCGGGAGTACATCCATTCAAAGGCCTCCATACTTCAACGGCAAATTTTATCCTTATTGGAAGGATAAGATGGAAATCTTTATCCAAGCAGAGAATTATCAGGTATGGCGAATTATACAAGTAGGAGATTACGAAATTACGAAAACGAATGCTAATAATGAGGTAATCCCTAAACCTATGGATGAGTATGAAAAAAACTGATTTTGAAAAACTTGAAATGAATGCTACTGCCAAAAAGTTTTTAATTTGGGGACTTGGACCCGATGAACATACTCGTGTCAAAGGGTGCAAGTCCGCAAAGGAAATTTGGGATCTTCTGGAAGTTACACATGAAGGAACGTCAGATGTTAAACGTTCCAAAATAGACATTCTTTTGTCTCAGTATGAGCGCTTTGAAATGGGAAACAAAGAATCCATTAAAGACATGTTTACTCGATTTAAAGGTATTACTAACGAACTAACGTGTCTTGGCAAGATAATTCCTATAGATGAGCAGGTCAGAAAAGTCTTAAGAAGTCTTCCAGACAATGACAGATGGAGAGCAAAGGTTGCAGCGGTGCAGGAATCAAAAGACTTCACCAAGTTCAATCTGGAACATCTTGCGGGTTCCCTCATTACTCACGAGATCCAGTCGAACAATCGGACTCAGGAGACTGTCAAAAGTCAAGGGCTAGCATTAAGAGCTAATGAAGAATCTGAAGAAGAAGCTGCAATGTTGGTGAGAAGGCTGAAAAAATTCTACCGTAACAACAAGTTTTTAGACAAGAAGAAAGGATACAGTAAAAGAAATCAGGAACCCAAAGCCAAGTCTTCTTGTCACAAATGTGGAAGCACCAACCACTTCATCAAAGAGTGTCCATTATGGGAATCTGAGAAAGGCAAGGGAAAAGAAACTGATCAAAGCAGAAATTCCAAGCCTAACTTTTCTAAAACAAATTTCAGGAAAGCAATGATTTCCACGTGGGGAGAATCGAGTTCCGAAGAAGAGGAACAGGAACACACAGACGATGAAGTAGCCAATCTCTGTCTAATGGCAAAGCATGATGATGAGGTAGTCATTCAACCTAGTTATTTGAAATCTCTCTCAAAGGATAAATTAATCTCTTTATTGTTAGAAACCTTAGATGAATATAAAGAATTATGTGCAAAACTAAGGCAAGCCGAAAAGGCAACTGGAATTTGTAGAGATCATGTTAAGTATCTGAATAGCTTAAGAAATGATGTTCAAGGCAGATTCTTTGAATTGTTAGATAAAAATATTATGCTAAAAGAATCCCTTGAAAGAGTCAAGAGTGAGAATATCATGCTGAATATTGAATTGACTCAATATAAAATGTTGTGTACTAACATTGATTCTTGCAGGTCTACTGAAGTTCCTTTAATCATGTTTAATAATGAACTAGAGCATGTTAAGAAAGAGATAAAGGAAACCAATGATAAAAATGAGAAACTAGAAAAGGACCTAGAAATTGCAAGAAAAAGTAAAAATACAGCAAGCACGGGTGTTCCCAAGTGGGTAAAGGAAGCTCAGACAAAAAGAACAGAAGGTCTAGGCTATGTTCATAAGAAGAAGTCCACTGGAAAGAAAAAGAAATATGTGAACTTACCTAGTGAGACCGTTTGTTCTTTTTGTGGTAAAAAGGAACATCGCAGTGAAGAATGTACTAAGAAAGCAAATCTGTACAATAAGAATGTGAACTATGTTTGGCAGAAGAAATCTGATTTAAATGTGTCAACACAGGAACCCATGAATGAAAGGGTTCCTGCTACTAACCCTTAATTTCTTTTGCAGGTCGCAGTGAGGGGGAACAACCAGTGGTACCTCGATAGCGGTTGTTCTAAGCACATGACAGGAGATGAATCCAGATTTCTCTCACTGACGGCCTATACAGGGGGAACAGTGACCTTTGGAGACAATAAGAAAGGCAACATTGTTGCTGTTGGCAAAGTAGGAAGGTCAAGTTCCCATGCAATTGACAATGTATTTTTAGTCGAGGGTTTGAAGCATAATCTACTCAGTATATCTCAGCTTTGTGATAAAGGAAACTCTGTAAGCTTTTCTTCTGAAAATTGCAAAATCATCAACAATAACACTGGAAAAATCGTTTTGGAAGGAACTCGTAAAGGGAACACGTATACCGTGGATCTTAACAAAGTTCCAAAATACAATCTATCCTGTTTAAGTGTTATTGAGGATGATCCACTTCTATGGCATAGACGTTTTGGACATGTTAGTCTTTCATTGCTTGACAAATTAAGGTCAAAGGACTTGGTAATCGGATTACCTTCTATCAAATTCCTAAATGACAAAATTTGTGAAGCTTGCATCAAAGGAAAGCATGTTCGATCATCATTTAAATCAAAGAAAATGGTAAGCACCACAAAACCTTTGGAACTCATTCATATGGATTTGTGTGGCCCCGTTAGAATTCAAAGTAGAAGTGGAAAAATATATGTCTTAGTTCTTGTAGATGATTATTCTAGATTTACATGGGTCATATTCTTACATAGTAAAGATGAAACTTTTGATATGTTTATGACTTTCTTGAAAAAGGGCTTAATTAAGCTAGATTTTATTTCTACTGAATTTCAAATTGCTGACATTTTAACTAAGCCTTTAAGCAGAGACAAGTTTGAAAAGATGCGTGTGGAATTGGGGATGCTACGGCTCAAGTGATTTTTGTTTGGAACCCCTAAGGTAAAATCGGATGTAACTAACGATGCTATGCTCAATCTTGTGTGCATAACACAGCTGAAATTACCCAGGGGAAAGATTTGTGAAGTATTGAAAAGTCACTTATACATACTTTTAATATGTTAAAAGTATTGAGCCATGTTGTTTCAAGTTCCTTTTTCATCATTCTTTACTCTCTGTATCATGATCACGTAAATTATCATCATAATTTACAATCAATCTGCTCTCATTTATCTTTTTCGTTTTTTTTTATTTTTCTTCTTGTTATTTTCTTTCTTATCTTTTATTTCTATCTTATTTTTTATTCTTATCTTCTTCCTTCCTTATTTTTTCATGATGAATTTTTCTATTCCTCATAGAATTCAAAAATACAAAAAGATCTTATTTGCTACGTAAGATAAGAAGCATGTATATCAACTTCTTAACTTACGATTTTATTTTATCAACATTGAATTAGATGAGTGCAATTATTTCACCAAATTAAATCCTACTACCTCTAAAACTACCCCACTACCTCACAGTTTAAACCGTCACTTTTCTTTCTCACTCCTCCCCATTAAACTCTTTTTCTTCTTTTCACTCCACCTTCACCTATCAAATCAATTAAATTCCCCATACACTCCCATAACCGGCCTCACTCTCTCTCCTTCCTATTCACACTATTCATCTTCTCCTTCCCTTCATTTTACCTTCAACACCATGAAAACCAACCGAAACACCACCCCAAAAACCCGATCACCACCATCCAAACCCTCCTCAAACACGGGGTCTCCACAACCGGTGCCAATTGCGATGGTGCATCCATCTGCTCAGCCAAAGAGGAAGGCTAAGGTTGTGAAGGGCGGCGACAGGAAACGGCGCGCAACCACCAAATTCCCATCATGGAATTACACTCTCGGATATCACATCAACTATGATTGGTGTGTGGCGAGTAAGTTCACTGAATTTACTTCTTTAATTGATTATCAAAAATGGACTCACTTGTTCCAGAATTGTTCTCATTACCCTGTTTATCCTAAACTTATTTATGAGTTCAAAAATACCTTTCAATGTGATAATGGTGTGTGCTCGGCCGTAGTTAATGATATTCCAATTTCGATTGATGCCAATTATCTTGGAAATCTATTTCAAGTTCCTGTTAAAGGCTATTGTTCTTATTTAAAGCACAAACAATCCGTAAATATTGGCCATAATGATGAATGCAAAATCCTTCAATTTATTGGAGGAAATCCGAAAGTGAAAACTACTCACCATCATGCCCTAACACCCCTTCATAAGCTACTGTTTACCTTCACCTGGAAGGGTATAGTACCCCGTTTACAAAAACGGAGTACCGTATCACTCTTGGATGCCTCCCTCATATTCTGTCTTGCATGCAAAATACAGATTAATTTCCCTGCTCTAATGATTGAACACTTGAATTTTTATGCTCAAAAGACCACAATTCCATATGGCTCTTTCCTTACTGTGTTGTTCAAATCTTTTGGTATTGATGTTGAATGTGAATCCCCAACATATCTCAAACCCGATAATATCCTCTCTGAACAATCATTACTTAGACTGAGTCTTAGGCTTACAAATGGCAAAGTATGTTTTGTGCCTCGGAAAGGAGGGGAGAAAAAGAAAGGGAAAGGGAAAGAAGCTAAGGAAGAATGTGATGCAAGCAGTGACCAGGGTAGTGAGGAGGCTAGTGAGGGTGCTACCACCTCCAGTGATTCTGAGGGAGATAAGGAAGAAGAAAAAAGTTCTAACAGAGAGAAAAACAAAGAAAAAATACTTGAGGGAGATGTGCAAGGAGAAAAACAGGAAGATTCTGAGGGGGAACATATGGAAGTTTCTGAGGGGGAAGCTCGACAATCTGACTGAGAGCACAGCTGGACCACCTGTCATTCCTGTGTTTACAGGGGGCCTTAGAAGGAGTAAGAGGAATGTGGTCAAGCCTGCCCTTTCTACTACACACCCTGTGACTGTAGAAACCATCAGCTCCTCAGACAAATCTGATTCCACCTTCAACCCTACCCAAGTTCCCTCTTCCACTGAACCCTCTTCTATTCCTGTCTCACCTACTAGGCAGCCTTCTCATTCACCTTCTCCTCCTCCATTTCAGCCTACTGGCTTTGCTGCTTTCTCTGGAACTCGTGTGTTTGTTTATGATTTTCAACAGGTTAAAGCAGATATGGAGAAGTTGACTACTCTGGTGAGCAAGAAACTGGAGGAAATGGCCTCGGAATTGCTTTCTCTTAAAGGCCAGGTGCAGGCTCTGGCAGAATCTCAAGCAACCGGATTTGCAGGCGTGGAGGCAAAGCTTGCACAGGCTGAAGGCAAGTTTAGTGAAGGCAACAAGGAGATCTTGGAAACTATCAACAAAGTAGCCTTTGAGGAAGTCGAGGAAGACTCTATTGATCCCACAAATCCAACCCTTGATCCTACCAATGCAGCCTCTTAAATCCTTGATTGCACTTATTCTAATTTCATATGTTGAACAATTTTATTTTGGTCTTGTTTAATCTCTCTGAACTTTGGTTTGTACGCCTTTATCCTTTGCTACATTCTCTATGTTCCTCTTCTATTTCCTAAATCGGAACTTGGCTCGTATTTTTCATATGATTGTGTGTGGTTGCTGATGATTTAGTACCTAACTTATTTTTGCCTTGCATTATTTGAGCTCACTATTCCCTACGTAGTCTAGTGGGAGTATAGCAAAATGTTTTTTTTCAATCTTTTGATAATGCCAAAAGGGGGAAAAGACAAACTTCATGGCGGCTAAAGTGTTTACCAAGGAACTCACACATCGAAGGTACAAACTTTTGCTAAGTTCAGTTTTTAAAGTCTTTGTTAATTTTTCTTTTGCTCAGTTTTTTTAAAAAAAAAAAAAAAAAAAAAAAAAAAAAAAAAAAAAAAAAACTTTTTAATATTTTTCTAAGTTCTTTAATTGTTTTTTTTTTTTTTTTTGTTTTCATGCCTTACTTTAAATTTTTGTTGCATGCCTGGATGATTTTATTTACCTAAGTTTGTCAATGTTTGTCATCATCAAAAAGGGGGAATTTGTTGAGCCTTTTGGTTTTGATGGACAAATTGACAAACTCGACTAATGAATGTTTTGAGTCTTTGGTGAATAAAGGATTCAAGCAAAGTTCGTTCCGGAGTAGGAACTTGGATGCGGAGTAGCATTCTCTAAAAAGCCTCGTGCAAATCTCACGTTCTAGTTTTAATTGTGAGCACTCAATATTATAAAGTCGGAAAGGAACTCAATGACTTATGTTAAAAAGACTACTGGAATAAAAGTTAGTTTTAAAAGATAATTTCTTAAAGAAAAGATAATTTGTAAAAGTTTTAATAAAGATAATTATCGAAGATAATTATCTAGTTGTTTTAATAAATAATAAATTTATCTTTTCAAATAAAATCTTTTTAAACAAACTTTTGATAATCTTTTTAAACAAATATTTGATAAGGATAGCAAGCGGTTTTTCTGTGTGAAAATCTTTATACGGCTAATGATTATCAAGTTGTTTAAGATAGTGGACTAATTAGATAAGGCTAGGAAACCTCTTCATGATTACCATCTGTCAAGATAACTCCACAAGTTGTTAGTGGGTTGTTGGCATGTGGACGTGATTATAGTGGAGGTTAATGACTAAGCCTTCTCTATAAATACTCATGCAAACTATCTCAGAAAGATATAACTCTTGAGCATAAAAATTCCAGTAGCCATCTAATAACATAAAGAGAGTTATTTTCCTTCATATATTCTTGAGTGCAATAGGTATTTGTAATCACAGATTGTATTCAAGTACTTAGGGGTTGGGATTGTGAGTTTGTAAAGTGAGGTCAAGGAAGCTTCGTTGCTGAAGTCTTCTGTGAGAGTTGGGAACAAGTTCCTAATTTGTGGAACTTGTTAACGGGTTTGAATCTTCACTTGTAAAGAGTTTGATTACTTAGTGGAAATTTAGAAAAGCCTATATCTTCTCTCGTCACTATTTCATTTAGTTAAATTCCGCAAAAAGTTTTTAGATTTCACCTCAAATACAATTCACCCCCCCTCTTGTATTAGCCAGTTAGACTTTCAAAAATTCACTGAAGTAGATCAATTTTTCATCAAGAAACATCCTCAAGGGACCCTGCAAGAAAGCATGCATGGGAAAGGCTGCCATTAGTGATATCAACATAACAATGAAGATCAGTGATGGAATATTGATATTGCCTCTGGTGGGTGAGAAAAATGGGTGTGGTGTACACCCTGATACTCATCTGCTGTTATGTTGTATCCTAGTACACACGTTTTGAGAAGCTGAAACGGAAAGAATACAACATCCTTAGTTTCTTAGATGGTACATAATTTCATAGTTCTCTTACAACTTTTCCTTGACACAGTTTGATGCAGTGTGTTTGAAATTTAATCGTATGAGTACCATTTCTTATGTCATGCTGGATTGCTAACTGGTTTCTCACAAAACTTGTGAAAGTAACTGATTAATAAAAAATTCCTGAGACATCTATCTCATGCTATAAAGGCAGAAAAACAAAAGATAAAACTTTCAAGCTAGACAATGACCTCTATGTGCCCAAAATAAGTTGGTTTAGCTGTTAAAACTTCTCAAATTGTCTTTAACATCTTGGTTTGCTGAATCTACTATAAAGATCATAGTTCGTATTTTCACAAGAAGCCCCTGTACCCCTGAAGTCTATATGATTTACATTCCTACTTCAGGTAAGCGAAACTTATCAAATTGCTTAGATATAGAACGTACCTCTTATGAGTCCATGCTTCAAAATGGAGTCTTGTAATAAATCAGACTGATCCTTCTAGACCAAGTTTGCTAACTATATGTTTGTACAAGTTCTCCCATCACCTACTCTCAGCAAATTAATATAAAGAATGCACAGCTATCATCAGTGTCAACAACAAAAACATGCAGCAGTAGCAAACACAACACAATAAATTCCAGGAATTCTGATCCTCTACAAGAATCACATAGATAATTTGGAACACGTATAAGATTAATTTACCAGGTCTTTAGGTTCTAAACCAGGAAACCGCCCAATGTCGTGTCCTTGTATCTGTTGAAATTCATTGTGCAAGCCAATTGCATAATCCTCTGCATGTGTTCCATCACTTTGAAAATAGTCTGCAATCTGTAAATTCAAAATTAAACCCAGGTGTAAGTCAAGATGGAAATAAAAAGCACAGCATGTCGTGAAGGTTTTCAGTTATATATATCTCATAGACCCCAGCAAATTCATTGTTTGATGTTCACATGCATTTAAACTTGAGCAGGATTGACATATAAGTTGCACTCCCTCCATCCCAAATAAAACATCGCAGAAAGGTTTGCACAATGTTTAGGTGATAAGATGTTTGCTTATCTATTTCACCCTCCGTTTTTTTATAAGTGACCCAAGCTCACAAGGAGTTTTAAGAAAAATATATAGGGTGTATAGGTAGGGCAGCTTTTTTTAGAGATTAAATAGTAGGATGTGAGATGCGAGAACTAATTAAGAATGTAGGAGTTGGGACAATGATGAGAGAGAAATAATTTAAAATATAGTAGTGTGACTGAAAGAGAAATGAATATAATTAAAAATAGTAGAATAGAATATTTCCAAAAAAAAAAAAAAAAAAAGTACGTCACTTTAAAAAAGACAGAGGAAGTACATTTTAATAGAAAAGTAGATGTGATGAGAGAGTGGCAGAATTTTTTTTATTTAACGAGATAGAGTGTGGGACCATAACTTTTAGTAGGGTAAGAGAGGTAATATAATATTAGTGGGTGCATTGAAGTGGGAAAATGTAATTAAAATGGACGAAAATGGCGAGTGTGAGAATCATATAGGGGCAGGGTGAGTAGTTGATACTCCGTAGCTTACACGCCTCCAAACTTAGTACTGATGTTAGACAAAATATCAAATGTCAAGTGAGAATGATTTAAGTGATGATTTTATGCTTACATGACTAGCCATTGACATGCCACTGAGAGCAGCGTCTTCTAGACTTGAACCCAGCAGCCAATCACCACAAATACCAACTCTTCCTTGAGGATCAAAGATGCATGGAGTGCCTGGAGTATTGGTTGGAAGAGCTGCACCCCTGCAGGTAACAGAAATAATTAATACTGCTTGTTCAATCAAGCTCCGAATTCCTATTAAAGAAAGTGAAAACTACAGTTTGAAAATGAAGCATGACCGCTAAGCCATAACTTGAAACTCATTCAATAAACATTATCATATTTTTGTGACAGATAATTGCATTGATCACATTTCTTTGCATGCTTAGTCTTAGAGAATATCAGCCAATTATTGCCTTTGCATATCCATCAATAAATAAGAACACAAAGTTTGTTTCAATCCTAATGAATTGAGTTTCTTCATAGCAAGTCTAAATTGTGATCAATTTCAAAACACCAGGGGGAAAATTATAAGTAAGCAAGACGAGGGAAAAAAAAAATTTAATGACAAGAAGGCCGGATAGATTAAGGCGCGCTACATCGTTGTACGTGTCAATGCTTCCAAAGAGGCTGCTGGGGTGGAGTATGATGGATGTAAGCAATCCTTATACCACAATAACAGAGAGGCCTTTTCCAATTGACTCTCAGCCTAATACACAATACAGTACGATCGTTTCCTATTTACATAGCAAAATAAAACCTCTGGCAACTGAGTCATTCACAAATAATTCGTAATAATTCAAATGTCAGAATATCCATGATTTCATTGAAATTAGACCATGTCATACCATTTTATAGAAGCAAAGTTTACGATTATATTTTTTGTGGGATGGCACTTCGTTGACTGGGCTTGGAAAATGGAGAATAACAATTTGTTGCAGTAAGAATAACAATTTCTTACCAGTAATCTGTCGACATAATAAGAAACATTGAAAACAAGTAATTCACATCCATTTTTCATCCGAAGCCACATAATAAGAAACATTGAAAACAAGTAATTCACATACCCTTTTCATCTGAAGCCAAGAAAACAAGGTTTTAGTATCAACTTTGATATATATATTTTTTTCCGTTCCATTTTATGCTCCAGTAATCTACCCCTCAGGCCCTCACCGCCCTCAAAATACAAATGATTTGTGTCATTTTTATTAGGTAATTCAGTTCATTCAAATGGATAAGAAAACAAAATAAATTCAGACAGTAAAATATGCAACATTTCACTATTTATGTTCTCCCATTTGATCAACTTTGTTGATTTATAAGTAAGGGAAAATATAATCATGTGGGATCTTGTTAGATTCAACCTGATTTATTTTTTGCACAATAACAAATTTTTATACAATTTATCCATAATTAGAGATGTAAAGGGTTGAAATTATGCACTGGCAAGCGTGAAAGTTAAAAAGTTGCAACTAAAAGAGAACGAAGGAAGTATGCTAGTTTCTAATATACTAAGGCTCTCATATAGCATTAGCAGCTGTCAATAAACATGCATGAACAAGGAATTTTTAATATTCTCTATTAGTTCCTTACCATAGTTGCACCTTGGTATAACTAGGTTTCTTCAGTGATCCTTTTGGGAGCCCTAATGCAATCTCAACACCCTCCAGCATCTGTGTTGTTACCTTCTCTGCGGTGACACTTGGAATGTTTTCCTAATAGTAGACAAATTATTATTCAGCAACAAAGACACAAAATGTGTGAAAAGGTGAGATGCAACATGCATGAGGAGCTAAGACACAAGGTGCAGTGAGTGATCATCTTTATAGCTCTATGCAAGGCCATATAGTGAAATGCAATTGAGGCATCAAAGAGCGCTTGGTCAAACTAATGTCCATTTCAGATTTTTGCATAACAATGTCACAAGTCCTATTCTTTTATTGTATGGAAGGGTCGATGGTGCTCTGAAGCATTATTATAGAAACATCAACAATTTAATAGCATGCATTTGTAATTCGTTGATTTGGGTAAGATATACTTCATATGAGTAACCATAATATACCTAGGAGCTTAGTACACTAATAACAATATTGGCATGCATTTTATATGTTGTATCTGAAAAAATATATTGATATCGTATATAAGACCCATCGCAAAATGTCACTATTCTTAACATAATAACATTATACTATCTGACTTCCCAACACTGTTATTAACTAAAGTAAAGATTACAAAATCAAGCACTGATAAGAATAAAAAGGATAATTTAATATGCTAGAAACCTTACACCTGCAATGGACATACCTATGACTTGATAACACACAAAAAGTAGGGGACATCTAGAGAGGAATTTAATTAAGCCTTTTCAACTACAACTGAAAAATATCTCAGTAGGAACTTTTCCAAATATACCAGTTCATTCAACTGGGCCAGAGAGATACTTTGTGAAGTTAAATTAACTGAACAATTCATACACTCTAGCATCATGCCCATGGCTTGGTAACTTCTCTACAAACCAAGAAGTCAGAAGACCATACAAAATTCTCAAAACTGGGTTCAAATAATGTAACTAAAAATTGACAATGATGGAAGTTGATGTAGAGTTTCTCACCCCTTGGCTTAGGATCAGTTAGTTCTAGATCTTAAAGGGGGCAGGCAAGGGATTTAACTCAGCGAGTCAGCGATAGAGCATTCCCTTGACAGCTTAAGGTTATTAACAATCAAATATAAATTAGATTGGACAGATTAGAGTATTAGACATATGTATACGGCAAGATAACTGATCAGGCTACAGTAAAAGATAACAGATATTGGAATAATAGAAATATAGCAGTTCTAATCTTAACCATCAAAGTTTTATTCAGTAACTGAGTGTTAAAAACACTAACTTCACTTAATACAAGTATTAAAAAAAGTTGCAGAAACATGAACATATTTTCTGGAGGAGAGGGGTGTTTTAGGCTCTGTTTGATAAATTTATTTTATCTGAACTTATCTGACATAGTGACATTATATGAACTTATTTTTGTCTGAAATTGTCTTATTTGAGTTCAAAATTATCAACAATTATTAAGTCTTAAAAAAAATCTTAAAAAAAAATTATTGTCTGAACTTAACAAAACTTACTAAACTTATTTCAACTTTATTTGTCTGAAGTAAGACAAAGAAAAAAGTTAAAATAAGTTGAACCAAACAAATCCTTAGTAACAAGCTGTCACATAAACCCATGTGTGTCTTTAGTTTGCTAATTTTTCAGAGCCTACACGAGAAGCGAATTCAAAGCTCTTAATATAAACTTTGAGCAGAGTCATAGATTTCCCAGAAAGTCAAATTTGTACTAACATGTTCCACAATTCAATGCATAACAAACCTGTGGAACCTTGTTCTGTTTTCCAAAAGCTGCTGTACTGAAGAAAGTCCAGCAATGAGGACCAATTTGGGTAGATGACAATTTTGCAGAGTTGTTGGCCATCCATGATAAAGCATCTATTCCATTTACAAATGCTCCTTCAAAGGTAGAAGTCAAAGGAAGAGGGTCATCAAATGCTGCAAGCAGGGCCCAAATAGAGCTCAAATCTAATCTCTGCAAAAATAAGTACTGCGTTATCAAATACAGGAAGTTGCTAGTCTACAGTACAAGTTTGATCTCATAATGTAGGTCCCAGAATAATGCAACATTTATCAGACAAACAATAAAAAATGAGCACCAACTGAAAAAAGTAAGCTACCAAAAAAAAAAAAAAAAAAAAAAAAAAAAAAACAAAGGAAATTCATCACACCTTCATTTGTTTAGCAATAAGTGGCAAGCCTGAATGGGCGAGTAAGCGATTTGCACATTTTCCTGATGACAAAGTAGAATATTGAAAAGATTCATTGCCAGCATATACCAAGAGCTAGTGAAGCCTAAAAAGAGCCATAAGAAAAATATCTCAAAGTTGTAATTTCAACCATTCCATCTACTAAACAATCTGAAGCCAAAGTTAATAAGCGTCAGGATAAATTATTAAATTGTTATTAATAGAAAATGTCCAATAATAGAAGGAAAAACAACAATCATCTATTAATAGAATTCTGGAAAAGACCTCCTTCAAAATAAGAATTCTGGAAACAGCCATAGCCGAAATTATTCGATATTGATCACCACAGGTCACAGGTTTGCAGTACAAAAATCAATATGACTTCAACAAACTACAAGCATATCAAGCAAAATGACCATAGACTTAACACGACAATTCAGAATTAACTGAACATTTTTTTCTACAGTTTATGGGTAAGCAATTAACAACAAGAATAAAAATAATTCAAGAAATGATTGTTTCTTTCATATTAACACCTCTTCCGCCTAAATCATAAGTCAAGATTGCCATTTATCTCTTCATGGACTTTTTCGTTCAGAATGTCAAGTGAACCTCAGATGGATGTTTTCTTTAAAAGTTACTTGGATATGATTGTAATTCGATATAGTGCTGAAGGGAAGTAAAAAATAAATAAACAAAAGAAACAAAGGCTGCAAAAGTCACCATTGTGTGCAATAACAATAGCATCGAATTTTCCACGTGGCTTTCCATTCTCACTCAAATGCCACATCCCATTAAATGGCTCTAGTGTACTGATCCAACATGGCCTAACAACTTCAACCATTTTTGCCTGCACAAGTTCAAGAATTAGTTAAATTAATTGAATAAGTAGAATGACTGAGTGAAGACATAAAATGAAAACAAAAGTCTGATTTGAATCTGACAACATGTAATACAATCTTTTGCAAACTATTCCATGCCAATCTAATGGAAAAGTAGAGAAGAAAGATAAGTATAAGGCCAGATGTTAACAGAGGCATAGAGCAACAGAAAAGATCATTGACAAATTTAATAGTAAACTTCATTTATCCTTCCTGGTGCCTTACTGTATATGGGTATGATCAATTTGATGAACTAGAGATGTGCATAGTATGAGATAGATTGATATGACTAAAATCATATAATTCTGTTTTTGTTGATGATGCATTAGTTTGCTGAAACAGGAAAGGATCTACTTAAGAGACTCCAATTAACATTATAATTTCCAACATGTTCTTGTAAGCATTACACCTAAAATATTTAAACACAAGGTTGGCTTATATTTTGTAAGAACATTGCATAACCACGACAGCATTGTGAAAAGGATCATTACACGTGGGAAGTGGTTCGCAATCAACATTATCACTCTTTCAAAGAATACTTTCAAATGCAGCACATAATATGTGATTTTTATGAGTGGTAACTTGAACTTGATCATCCAGCTTAAAATGATAAGAGCTAAAGATATTCTTTATAAGTACCTGAAAGGTTTCCATCAATAAATATTTAAAATTATTGAAGCCCTTCCAAAGATTAATCCAAGTATGTTCTTTCTCTTTCAAAATGAAGGGCTCTCATCTAATCCATTTCCATCCCTACAGTTGCAAAATGAATGATGAATCATTATAGCCTTTACAGAGAAAAGTAAAAGAGCAGCATAGAATTGCTTATACCAATAAGAAATTGGGGGGTCAATTTTTTGTAGTGTCACAACAAAGCAGGTAGATATTTTTACCAAAGGAAGTAGCAGTAAAACAGGGACAAGAATTGAATGAAGGTACTAATAAATAAAGAAAGAAAAAAAGAAGTAAGAATGGTGGGGTGGTTAACAATGGAAACTCAAGGTGGGTTGAATGATTGTACTATTTCCATCCATAAAAAATCTTTCTATATTCCTTTTTATGATGTCCACAAAAAAATCTTCATGTTACTTAACATAATTTATACACACAAACCATGTGATGGGCATCTCTCCACTTTCTTTCCATCACAATTTCACCTAAGCGTACTAAATTCCTTAATATGCAAGTCCAAAACTAACAGAAATATTATTTGTAAATGGAGGGAGTAGTTTTTTTCTCTTTCAATATGATGAGGCTAGTTATAGGCTTTGTCAGTGAAACATTTGTCTTGATACAATTTGACACCACTTAGATAGCATAACATTACCTAGATACTTTAGTCAAGATACTTGTATCAAATAAAATAAAATGAAAGTTATGGCCAAATGAAGTTAGACGGTCATTTCATTAATATTTGACTTACATCAATTAGTGTAAGCTATGGAAATGAGAGGAGTTATATATGTAAAGCTGTAAGCACCCTCTTGTAGATATGCACCTAAAGGTGGTATCTAAATCACTTTCGACACTTATCAAGACACATAGTTTCAGGTGGGATCATTATTTGGTTATCAGTTGTTATTTTATAGAAAAAAAAAGTGGATGTAGAGGAAGAAAGTGGAGAGTTTTCTCTGATAATAAAGTAGTTGAGATGGAAAAAAGCTTTTGTTTAAAAAAACAAAATAATAATTTAATGAGAGGGCGTAAGACCACAACTTTCTAGAAATGAGAAAAGATGTATTAAAATAATAGTATAACCTTTCTTTACTACAAGTGTAAAAACTAATTTGAGACAAATGTTATAGAAAATGTAAAAAATTTGGGATAAAGGGGGTTACATATACTCTGTATGTACAAATAGGAAAATTTGTCAACACACCTTTTAATCTACCATTTTTGCGAACTACCTTTTACTTTAAAGTTTGCGAACAACTACCTTATATTGAGTTTTCGTTTTGGTACCACTACCATTTGATGGATTCCGTCAAAATTTTTGTTAGTGAGACCCACATTCAACGATTTTAAACAAAATTAACTCTAATTACATAGATTAGACTCCATTAAAACCTATTTTAAGCACCTTAATGTTATATCTAGCTAATTTAAACCCCATATTAATGCTTTTCGGTTTTAATTTGCCTAATTTACACCCAAATTAGATCAGGGTTTTCAATTTGGGGCTAATATAATATAATTCCAACATGCATTTGTGGTTTCAATTTGCTTATTTTACTCCCAATTCACATCGAATTCTCTCCAAAACATTCCTCTTACTCTTCAATTATAAATTAGGGCTCTCAATTTGGAAGTAACAAAAATATTGACGAAATCCGTCATTGGTACCAAAATAAAAATTCAATATAAGGTAGTTATTCACAAATTCTAAAGTAAAAGGTAGTTGTTCGCAAAAGTGGTAACTTAAAATGTAGTTGTTGACAAAAAAAATCCGTACAAATAGATGTTACAATGTATTTGTCATTTCCTACATACACATACTCTAAGTCTTTGGTTAATGGGTCTACTAACTTCTATAAATAATTTGATATGCAAGAGTTCAATGATGACACAAATCGTCAACACTCAATCAACAGTGAATATAATGAAAAAGGTATTCAGGTGTAATCTTTGATCTAAGACTTAGGTGCTAACAAGCCTACCATCACCTGATGGAATTCAATACCCTCATCAGGAGACCTAATCCTTCAATTGAGAGCTATGTCACACATTACAAAAATATCAACGAGAATGGAAGAGATATACATATACTGACTATACTGACAAGTGACAACCAGCAATTAAAATGCATCTATTATAAGTAAATAGCATAGTAGGAAAAGAGTTGTAGTGAAACAGCAAACATAATCACCTCGGACAATATTGAATCAGCCAGTGTACGCATTCCATTGACACCTATATATCGTGGTGGAGAAGCAGGCAATGGAGAAAATCGACCCCCGGGTTCAATTTCTCCAACTGTACCCTGCCATTGCTGTACAAGCCCCTTCTCAATCCATCCATTGACCAACTCACCAAACCGCATATCGCTGACAGTAAAAAATTGAGCAGCATGGTCGAAAACATAGTGCTTAGGTTCAACTATTCTTGTTCCCATCCTCCCTCCCAAACCATGCATTCCCTATGACAGAAAACTAGCAAGATATCATTAATAATGCATCAATTTGTGTTCATTTTCATTTTCATTTTCCTAATAAGCCCAAAATGAAATATTGCCTATAGGTATGAATTTAAGTTCTACTTCTGTTTCAAATTATTTGCAACGATTAGACATTTTCTACTCACACTTTATGTCAAATTGTTGCAAATAATAAAATATCTAATTGTTGCAAATAATTTATAACGGAGGTAGTATAAATATCTTTTCCTGTATTATCAAAACGATACAATCAACGTATTTTACACCAAAATTAATTCAATTTAAAACATAACTAATTATTATCAATACCCAGAAACATTCCCCAAATCATCAAAAGAAAAAATACAATCAATTTTAAATCAGACCAAAATTAATTCAAATTAAGACATTATAAGATAGAAAATAGAAATTAACCAACCGTGTCGAAAACAGTGGAACGAATCCCTCTCTTCTCCAAATTTAGAGCGCACATAAGACCCGCCATTCCGCCACCAATTATCCCAACTTCCGGGTCATCGGAAATCGGAGCAGTAAAAACCACTTGTTCCTGAATGAATGTTTTCTTAATAACTGACCTTCTTGAGCTTCCATAAGACCTTTTTCTAGGGTTTTTGCGAATGGGTTTGTTCTGGGATTGAATAATTTTGGGGTTAATTTGAGAATTATGAGATTGGGGAAATTTGGAATTGAAAATTAGGGTTAGGGTTTTAGGGGTTTTGAGAGGTTGGTAAATGAAAGGAGAAAGAAATTGAGTGGATGTGCTCATTGTTTTTTACTACTGCTACTGCTGCTGAGACTGATACTCTTATCTAAATTTGGTACTTAACTGAATTTGTAGAGGCGCCAAATTCAGTTTTGACCGTTACTGAATAAAGATATAATCGGACAACTAGAAATTTTATTAGTGAATAGTGATGATATATATTTATCCTCCCTTCAAATATATACTTGTATAAAACCAAAAAATAAAAAAAATAAAAAAAAATTATATAAGCATTTTTAAAATTGTATTGATGTATGAATATATGAAATAATTACGTGTAAATTGGTGTAATTAACGTTTGATTTAATGTTACTCCATCTGTTCATTTTTTATCTTCCGATGTATATTATTCATGTGGTTGAATTTAGCTAATGAGAGGCCACTAGGCTCTCGAATGATACCATACAAACCAAGAGTAGAAGCTAATGGCTAAGTCCTAAAAAATCATTTTCCATTATCGATCTTACTAGAATTGGAAGAGAAGTTCATAAAATAGTTATCTTATTGGCTTATTGGCTTGTAACACCCCTTTTAATTTTTTTACCAAACAATGCAATAGCAGTTTTTAAATATTGTAGTTGATGTCCTTGATGATGGGCATATTTTAAATCTTTGAATTGAAATTCTTCCCCCTTTTTTTTTTGTAAAAAATGGTTTGCTACATATACTATCATTTGAGAAACTATTATTACATAGCAGAATTTAAAACCAAATTCAATATTTTCTTTGAAAAAGTGAACATTATTTGCAATCTTCATACATGAACTTCACTTTAAAGGAAATTAATCAAAGATGACTCTATTAACAAGTTGAAGAATCAAGATCTATAAAAACAAGCAAAGTAAGACTTAAACTGTCTCTTCTCCATCCCAATTCCTCTTCATCTTAGGACCAGTAGGCCCTTGTTCCCCCAGCAATTCGGCAGGCAAGCTCTTAATAAAGCTAAGAAATTTAACCTTAAGCTTCCCAGGCAACAATTTCGCGACCTTATTAATTTCATCGTTTATATTATAAGTAATCATAGGACCCCATTTTCTAGCGTAATTCAACCATGGTGGCTCAGTAACTGTCCCAAGATAATCCGCGGAGATGATCTTGTAATTAGCCCCGGTATCAAATACATTGTTGCTCTTGTCAGTATCATTCCTTATTCCGACAAATTTATCAGTCCCTTCTTCATTCCCGTCCTGTAGAACATCCCCTGCTTTCCGGTAATTAGCATGGCCGTGCAATGAAGCATACCCTTGAATTCTATTACCATCGCCGAATTCAAGGTCAGGAGGGTACACCCATTCACCCCCAGCATGTTGTGAAAAAAAACACCTTCATTAACAAACCATTAAAATTACTAATTCTTAAGGTTATATGTTCCCAATCTCCTACATGCTCCCCTATTTCCCCTAATGGTATGGTGAAAAACCCGACTTTAGCTCTTGACGGTCCATTAAATGGGTAAAACAGCCATATTGCTAAGTCAGTGTATGTTCCTGCAAGCATAGGCTTAATGTGGTAATACGCGCAGGCTGATCCCATGTCACCTTTCTTGACTCTCTCCCTTTCGTTTTTATCCCTTGGAAGGTCTATCCAATATTCTCCATCATTGGTGCCACCTTGGGGAGGTTAGACCCCGAGGGATCAATAGGGACCGGGTTTGACTCGTCGCCTTTCTTGTACAATAACGCTCCATTTTGGAAGAACCAGTCAACTGATGAAGGTAGGTACTCTTCTTTTGGGTGAATGTATACCTTAGGAGCGTAGGTCTTGATTAGTGCTTCAAGTTGTTGTAAATTGGGCATGTAAGTGTTGTTTTTTAGGGCATATTTTAAGCAGACTAAGAGAGGAGTTTCCACTGTTGTTCCTCCACCACTTTTAGCCAAGAATGTGCCTGCGCTCACTGCTGATGCCTGTTTATGTTTCAATCAAAATGTTAGCATTACAATTTAAGCTAGTTTATGACAATCAAGAGAAAATTTGAAACTTGAAAGGATTAGTGGTGCACTGGTGCAATATCACAATTGTCGAGGATTTTTACCATATAACCGGTTATTATTGTACTTTGCAGGGTAACAATCAAGGTAGCACATGCACATGATCAAAGAGATAATATCAAGTGTAATGTGCATAAAGTGCAACCGGTTGTACATAGAACATTTTTCAATTGTCTTAGTCATTGCACTGGATTTAAAATGATTTAAGTTTAAACTAAATTAAGATTTTGGCAAGTATTGTAGTGATAAGAATACTAATTAATCATTATTGTTTTGATACTACTATAACAAATTTAAATCTTTTGTTTCACTTATTATGTTTTACGTTTTTACCAATGTTTTTACTTGTTCTTAGGACAAAATATTTTGTTTCGACTAGCGTCACTAGCTAAAACATTTTTCAGCTCATTTATAAAGCAAAATTTTTGTCCAACATTTTTATGTGCCATTTATATACAAAAACATATTTTAAATTATTCTAACTGGATGATGGGATCTTAACAAATATTAACACAAATGTGAAACCAAAAGAATAGTGGAATTGGACTCCCTATTTACATGTGACTATATGAGCACAAATTATCACCTATAAATTGACGGTTATTGACTAACATGGAGTTTTAGATTAAGTTTGACTATTAATTTCAAATAGAAAATAGTTACACTATTAGAATAGAAAAAAGATAAAAAGTGTACACTACTAGTGATTATGAGTACCTGTTTTCCTTTCCTTACAGGTCTGGACTCAAAAATGTTAAACTCATCAGAATCAACACCACCAGTTTTGCCCCATACCCAATCGTCGGGTTCACACAACGTAGTAAAATCAGATCGAACGCATCGAACCTTCTCTAGCGGCGGCTTCTCGGGCGTGGAGGTAACAACAAGACCCACAGCTTGGTACCCATCTTTTGGTATAGGAGCCCAAATGTAGCCAGGAGTGTCTTCTTTAACATCTTGAGATTTGCTACTCCAAACAAGGGCATAGTCAACGGGCCACTTTAACGTTGGATTAGCAGGATTACTAGTATCTTTGCCTACTAGAACACGCCCATATAAAGGTCTATTGTTAGGTTGGGCGTAGTACCCTAACAAATAAAACCCTTCTGGTAGCCCAATTGGCTCGAAAAATGTAGCCCCTCCATCGTCTGGTCCTCCGTTATAAGTTGCCCATACTTTGGTGAAATTTGTCACCTCGGCTACTACTAGTCCTCCAAAATCGATTGTGCCCGTTGCAAACCCGCCACCTATTTGCCAAGAAAAATATATTAAAAAGCGTTCTTAAGAAAGTATATGTGTCACGTGACACCCTTCTCATGTCACAACTCGCAAGGTCTTAACTCAAGACCAACAACAAATGAGTTATTATTCTTACCATTTTGGCTTTGTTTTTTTTTAACATTTTATAGCTCAAATAATATATTATGATATTCAAACTACAATGCAGAAAATATATACCTTATGTATTATGTGCACATTTCATACATTAGACTTGTAGAAACAAATAAAACTAAACATCCTATAAGAACCACAAATGAAAATAATGACAATAATTTTTTTAACAAAATAATTATGAAATTGGGCATGCAAAATTTCTCACAAAAAGCGTATACAAATAAAATATATATAATACCTTGATTCAATTTTAAACATATAGATAAAATAGGATAACTAAATTGATTATTAAACAAGATGAGAGAAAGGGAGGTAAAGGAAATTTACCATTCGGCCATGAAGGTAATGGAGATGGGAAATTGAAAGATGATGAATCAATTCGGAAGTTTCTCCTTGAAACAACATTAAACTTGTGATGATAAACATCACCAAAACTTGAATCATTTGAGGAGTTTCTTGAAACAACATCAATGTTTGGAGGATTATTGGATTGTTTGTAACAAAAACAATTGCCTAGGATTAATGCTATTATCAATGAAAATAGCAACAAAATTTGAGAGTTTATGACACCCATTTAATTAATATTAATTAGAAAAATTAATATTAAGTTAATTTCTCATATTTAGGGAACAATGTAGTCCCCCTTTGGGAGACTTCTACCCTACCTATAGAAATAAGCTAATCATGGACATGATTATCCCCTTTAATAAAGAAAAATGGGAATAATAATGCTAATTAAGAATTTTTCCACCTTGTTTGTTTGGCTTTGTCCTAGATTAGCTCATCTAGCTAAATAACGGCTTTTCCTTATTTTTGTTGTGTTTGCCACTTTATTTTGTTGAAAGCTATTATTGCCTAACAGCACCCGTGACCCTAGATATTTGGCATCACCGACCAACACTATGTCTCCCACGGGAGCGTAATTATAAGCTCGACTAGCTACTCGAGTACGCGAAGATGAGGGATGATACACATATCTTTGAGGGTGTAGTTTCATTGTGGGATGATACACATATGAATGGTTTTTGAAGCAATTATTGTTTAATTTCAATTATTGATAAATATGATCTATCCTAAAAGGTAATTCATGATTCTTTTATATAATGCTCACATAAATGTTTGATATGAATCATATGATTCATTGTTTTTGATATGTCCAATTGTATTCCTCCTTTTCTAGCCTGATTTGATTCCTTTCTTATGGTTGTAGATAGGATAGACAGTTGGTACCTTTTTATTATTATCTTTACGCTCCTTCCCTTTTTTTTTTTTTTTTTTTTTTTTTTTTTTTTTTTTTTTTTTTTTTTTTTTTTTTTTTTTTTTAAGTGTCCTATTTTGACTTTAATTTTTGGCATTGTTCACACACACAATTTATTTTGACCAATATTAATGATTGATACATAAGAAAATAATGTAGTCATTTGGTATATATTGGAATCGTCTTAATGTATATTTTTGAATTTTAAATATTTACATTTTATTTATTGATGATTAAAGATATTACGGATTATAGGTCAAAATTGAAATACATTCGCAGTCAAACTGGAGCAATTAAATAATACAGAGAGTATTAGTGTATTACAGATTATTTTATCATACATACTATAAATGTTATGGATAGATTTGTTTAAAGTGGTGTTATATTCACCAGTGTAAGGTTTTTCATTGGGCTGAACCAAAGCAAATTGTAAACATAGAAAGTTAAAATTTAAGGCAAAAGAAGCCTGATCTTATACTAAACCGTAAACAGATCAAAACGATAAAATTGATCCAAAACCTACACCAGACTAGTTTGGAATTTTTGGACCAATTTTAGTATGGTTAATTTTTTATAAAAATACAGAAAAAATATTTAATAAATATAATTAAATTTCATCAAAAATTTGACTTTAGTAAAAATATGTATGACTGTAGTTTTGTTGTA